CTGGACTATCATTTGGGCAGAAACTGAGTTACCTGCAGGAGGTTTTTTTTCATACCCTGGTGGCACCTGGAGTACCAGCCAGACCAGACTGCTCACTCTCCTGGAAAGGGGGTTGAATCCAGAAAGCCAAGTGGTCTAGCTAGGCTGATCCTGCTCCCATGGAGCCCAGCAAGCTATGATCCACTGGCTTGAAATTCTCACTGCCAGCACAGGAGTTTGAAGTCGCCTTGGGATGCTCTACCTTGATTGAGGGGAGGGGTATCCACCATTACTAAAGACTGAGTTAGGCAGTTTTCCCCTCACAGTGTAAACAGAGCCACTGGGAAGTTTGAACTGGGTGGAGCCCACCACAGCTCCGCAAAGCCACTGAAGCCAGACTGCCTTTCTAGATTCCTCCTCTCTGGGCAGAGCTTCTCTGAAACAAAGGCAGTAACCCCATCAGGGGTTAATAGATAAAACTCTCATCTCCCTGGGTCAGAGCACCTGGGGGAAGGGACTGCAGTGGGTGCAGCTTCAGCAGACTTAAACATTTCTGCCTAGTGACTCAGAAGAGAGCAGATTTCCCAGCACAGTGCTCAAGCTCTGCTAAGAGACAGACTGCCTCCTCAAGTGGGTCCCTGATCCCTGTGCCTCCTGACTGAGAGACACATCCCTGGAGGGGTGAATAGACACCTCATACAGGAGAGTTCCAGCTGGCATTTGGCTGGTTCTCCTATGGGATGAAGCTTCCAGAGAAAGGAACAGGCAGCAATCTTTGCTGTTCTGCAGCCTCTGCTGGTGATACACAGGCAAACAGGGTCTGGAGTGGTCCTTCAGCAAACTCCAGCAGACCTGCAGCAGAGGAACCTGACTGTTAGAAGGAAAACTGACTAACAAAAAGGAATAGCATCAAAGTCAATGTAAAGAACATCCACACAAAAACTCCATCCAAAGGTGACCAACATCAAAGACCAAAGGTAGATAAATCCATGAAGATGAGGAAAAACAGACTCAAATGGCTGAAAGTTTCAAAAACCGGAATGCCTTTTATCCTCCAAAGAATCACAACTCCTTGCCAGCAAGGGAACAAAACTGGACAGAAAAATAATTTGATGAATTGACAGAAATAGGCTTAAGAGGTGGGTAATAACAAACTCCTTTGAGCTAAAGGAACATGTTCTAATCCAATACAATGAAGCTAAGAACCTTGAAAAAAGGTTAGAGAAATTGCTAACTAGAACAACCAGTTTAGAGAAGAACATAAATTGCCTGATGGAGCTGAGAAACACAGCACGAGAACTTCATGAAGCAAACACAAGTATCAATAGTCGAATCAATCAAGGCAAAGAAAGGATATCAGAGATTGAAGATAAATGTAATGAAATAAAGCATGAAAACAAGATTAGAGAAAAAAGAATGAAACAGAATCAACAAAGCCTCCAAAAACTATGGACTATGTGAAAAGACCAAACCTACATTTGATTGGTGTACCAGAAAGTGATGGAGAGAATGGAAGCAAGTTTGAAAACACACTTCAGGATATTATCCAGAAGAACATCCCAACCTAGTAAGACAGGCCAACATTCAAATTCAGGAAATACAGAGAGCAGCACAAAGATACTCCTCAAAAACAGCAACCACAAGACACATAATTGTCAGATTCACCAAGGTTGAAATGAATGAAAAAATTTTAAGGGCAGCCAGAGAGAAAGGTTCATTTACCTACAAAAGGAAGCCCATCAGACTAACAGCGGATCTGTCTGCAGAAACCTTACAAGATGGAAGAAAGTGGGGGCCAATGTTCAGCATTCCTAAAAGAAAGAATTTTCAACCATAAATTTTATATCCAGACAAAGTAAGCTTCATATGCAAAGGAGAAATGAAATCCTTTACAGACAAGCAAATGCTTAGAGATTTTGTCACCACCAGATCTACCTTAAAAGAATATCCAAAAGAAGCCTAAATATAGAAATAAATAATCAGTATCAGCCACTGCAAAAACATAACTAATTGTAAAGATCATTGATACTATAAAGAAATTGCATCAACTAACAGGCAAAACAACCAGCTACAATCACAATGACAGGATCAAATTCACACATAACAATATTAAACTTAAATGTAAATAGGATAAATACCCCAATTAAAAGACACAGTCTGGCAAATTTGATAAAGAGTCGAGACTCATTGGTGTGCTGCATTCAGGAGACCCACCTCATATGCAAAGACGCTCATAGCCTTAAAACAAATTGATGAAAGAATATTTACTGAGAAAATGGAAAGAAAAATAAATCAGGGGTTTTAATCCTAGTATGAGATAAAAGTCACTTTAAACCAACAAAGATTAAGAAAGACAGAAGGGCATTACATAATGGTAAGGAATCAATATGAGAGACAGCTAACTATCCTAAATGTATTTGCACCTAGTATAGGAGAACCAGATTCATAAAGCACGTTCTTGGAGACCTACAAAGAGACTTAGATTTCCACCCAGTAATAGTGGGAGACTTTAACATTCCTTTAACACTCCACTGTCAATATTAGACAGTTCAATAAGAAGAAAATTAACAAGGATATTCAGGACTTGAAATTGTCCCTGGACCAAGTGGACCTAATAGACATCTGCAGTACTCTCCACAATTCCACAGAATATACATGCTTCTCAGCACCACATTGGACTTATTCTAAAGTTGACCACATAATTGGATGTAAAACATTCCTCAGCAAATGCAAAAGAATGAAAATCATAATAATAAGTCTCTCAGATCACAGCACAAGCAAATTATAACTCAGGATTAAGAAACTCCCTCAAAACTGCACAACTATATTGAAACTGAACAACCTGCTCCTGAATGATTAAAGGGCAAATAATGAAATAAAGGCAGAAATAAGTAAGTTCTTTGAAGCCAATGAGAACAAAACACAAAGTACCAGAATCTCTTCGACACAGCCAAAGCAGTGTTTAGAGGGAAATTTATAGCACTAAATGCCCACATTAGAAAGAAGGAAAGATCTAGAATTGTCACCCTAACATTGCAATTAAAAGAACTAGAAAAATAAGAGCAAACAACTTTAAAAGTAAGCAGAAGACTAGAAATAACTAAGATCCAAGCAGAAATGAAGGAGATAGACACACACACACACACACACACAAACTTCAAAAAAATCAATGAATCCAGGAGCTGGTTTTTTGAAAAGATTAACAAAATCAATAGGCTGCTAGCCAAAATAATAAAGAAAAGAGAGAAGAATGAAATAGATGCAATAAAAATGATAAAGGAGATATCACCACTGATCCTACAGAAATACAAACTATCATTAGATAATACTATAAACACCTCTATGCAAATAAACTAGAAAATCTAGAAGAAACTGATACTTTTCTGGACACCTACATCCCCCCAAGACTAAACCAAGGAGAACTTGAATCCTTGAATAGACCAATAATCAGTTCTAAAATTGAGGCAGTAATTAAAAACCTACCAAAGAAGAAAAGCTCAGAATGGATTTGGCTATGATGGATTCATAGACAAATTCTACTAGAAGTACAAAGAGGAGCTGGTACCATCCCTTCTGAAGCCATTCCGAGCAATAGAAAAAAGAATGGCTCCTCCTTAACACACTTTATGAGACCAGCTTTGTCCTGATACCAGAACCTGGCAGAGACACAACAAAAAAAGAAAATTTCAGGTCAATATCCTCAATATATATTGGCAAACTGAATCCAGCAGCACATCAAAAAGCTTATCCAACATGATTCAATTGGCTTCATCCCTGGGATGCAAAACTAGTTCAATATACACAAATCAATAAACATAACCCATCACATTAACAGAGCCAATGACAAAAACCACATGATTATCTCAGTAGATGCAGAAAAGGCCTTCAATACAATTCAATACCGCTTCAATGCTAAAAACTCTCAATAAACTAGGTGTTGATAGAATGTATCTCAAAACAATAAGAGATATTTCTGACAAACACTCAGCCATTCTAGCTTTTGAATGGGCAAAAGCTGAAAACATTTCTTCTGAAAACCAGCACTAGGGTGCCCTCTCTCACCACTCCTATTCAACATAGTATTGGAAGTTCTGGCCAATGCAATCAGGCAAAAGAAATAAATAAGAGGTATTCAAATAGAAAAAAAAAAAAGGAAGTAAAATTGTCTCTATCTGCAGATGACATAATTGCATATTTAGAAAACCCCAATGTCTCAGCCCCAGAACTCCTTAGGCTGATAAGTAAATTCAGAATTTTCCTCTTTAATGATTTATATCATTGGTATTTTACTTTGAATAAATATGTTTTTAGTTGCAGGACATATCAAAATGCAAAGTGCTGAGTCTACTTTCAAGAAATATGATTTATGATATAGGAGAGACAAAAAATTATTATAGACAATTCCCACTTCTTGGCAATTAAACCTTTTATAACTCAAATTTTGTTATTTGGAAAGGCAACAGATTTCTGTTATTTTCTGCTTCAGAGAATTATATTTGTAGAATATGTTTCTGAAAGAAGCTTTACTTTGCAAGATATTACAGATTGATGGGAATGGCTCCATAAAATGATGATTCTATATCTCATGAATGCAGGCACATCAGTTTTTGTCATAAGTGTTTATTCAAGCTAATATGTCATCTACTAATGTGACAGGCTATTACTTAGACTTCAAGATAAAACTTCAGCATGATCAATTCAAGATCACCTTATCACTTCTATTGAAAACAATTCAATGAAACATATCATTCTTATTCACTGTACACATAAAACAAGACACTAAAAGCATTTATTTTATGCATGTTGTAATAATTATTTCATGGATAAAATACTTCTGAAAATTAAATGATAATATTGAATCGCAAATGTTAACATTTGATATTTTTAATTTACTTTAAAAATATTGAGACATAGTATTAACTTTGTATGATTGACTTTTACCATTTAAAAAAGAACTATTTCTTGATTTGAATGCAGATATTAATTCCACTGACTTACATTGTTTCTTTTTTTTCCTTTAGGCTGTCCTTTGGAGGTATAAATTTTCTCAGCTTAAAGGTTCTTCAGATGATGGCAAGAGCAAAATCAAATTTTTGTTTCAGAATCCAGATACTAAACAGATTGAAGCAAAGGTAAACCCAAGAAATTCATCACATAAGACCTGTAACCACATTAATGCCATTAAGGAACAAAGGGGAGAAACTTTCAGGGAATCACAAGAGCAAAAACACACATACTCTGCTTATCTTGAAATAGCCCTCATGGCCAGAAGAATAAATTTACTTTAAGATTTTATTGGCAAATTTTCACTTAAAGTCATCACTTAAAATAAATTACACAAAACTAATTGGATTTCTTAATTTTAATTCCTTATAAACTGCATCTGGGTTACACTAAAATAATGTCCTGGGAGCTAACACAGTCCTTTGGTGGTTTCTTCCTAAGTAATAATTAAAAATACTTTGTAAAACTCTGACTTTATATTTACATAAATTTACATAGTTACGTTTTATTTATATATTTCTCATGTATTCAAAGTCTGCATTATTTTTATTACCATAGTATAAAATTGACAATAACAATGTTTGCCTTAGAATAAATTATAAATGCATTATCTCAGTATGGAGGAAAGAATAAAGTAACACATGCGAAGTGAAAAAATTATATCTATGAACATGAAAACTCAATATAATTTTTCAGCTATGAATTAAATTTACCATATTTCTGTTATACCCCTTTCCTTATTAAATTCAGGGATAAGGAGCCTTAGCTTGATATTTAGAACCTTCCAAGGAATGTTCCCTGGATGATATTCTAGGCAAAGTCTCCTGTAACACTGCTCTATATTCAGATTAGAATTCTCTTTCTTTTAACAAGGTGATTCCTTCTAGACTTACATATCTTCTGCTTTTCTCTTAAGTTTTTTCCTTAGCTTTTTGTCTGAGTATCTCTGGAGATGTCCCATTCTTGTCTCTTACTTGTCTTTGGATTAATCTTTTCTGCCCTTCCTAGCTCACGGGTTGTGTAAGGTGGGAACTGTCATCTCTCCTACAACAGGCTCCTTTGCCTGCAGCACTGATGTTCCCAGGGGCTGGCCTCACATTTGTCTCCCATCAGTTTACACAAATGCCTTGACAACGTCTTCCACTCCCTTTATTTTACCTGCCTCATAAGTTTTTTCAGCACATCCTCTTCCCTAAATATAGACCCATCTCTGCACCTGACCTTTCTCCACCTCTTGCTACTGTTCCTATTCTCTCTCTCCAGGTACCACTTATCAATCATTTATTTGTGCCAACCACAAAGTATTCTAACAATATCAAAGAATGCATTACTCTTTGCAGAAATTATTTACCTTTCTTTGGGAGGCCGAGGCGGGTGGATTATTAGGTCAGGAGATCGAGACCATCCTGCCCAACACGGTGAAATTCCGTCTCTACTAAAAAATACAAAAATTATCTGGGCGTGGTGGTGCACGCCTGTAGATCCAGTGCTTGGGAGGCTGAAGGCAGGAGATTTGCTTGAAGCCAGGAGGCAGAGGTTGCAGTGAGCCGAGATCGCGCCATTGCACTCCAGCCTGGCACCTGGCAACAGAGCGAGACTCTGTCTCAAAAAAAAATAAATAAATAAATAAAATTACCCTTAGCTATTTCTTAATCTTTAAAAGCAGAGCACAAATTGTAATACTGATAAAAGATGCTAGTATTGTCAGTCTGTATTATTCTAGCATTTATTCTGATGGGAACCTCAACCGCCAGTTGCTGACAGCAGTGTAGGATTCAGCTAGTTACTTCAACACTTTTTAATAAGCTAACAAACCCTTTCACAGGAATAAGAGAGATAAATGCAATCTAACGGCTACCAACTGTAGTATTTAAATGTTAATTTAGTGTAGCATGTATTATGCATGCAATTAATTATACTGACAACTATAATAGAAATTACCTGTCAGCTACTAAATATTACCCATTCTTGTAATTTTTGTGTTTTAAAGCTTTAGCTCATCATGTAATTCATTAAGAGCTAACCTAAGAAAAGATACTTGGTTGAGTGCAATTCTCAAATTTATAGGAAGTAATTATGGAGTAATGAAAAAAATAGTCTTAAAAATAGTGAGACTATGACACTTGTGAGTTGTTGAAATTCTTTAAATTCAGGATTTTTTTTTTTATAAAATAAAAGAAAATAATATCTCCATGGGTAATACTGAAAATACCCAATAAAATAAGAAGACTATTTAAGCTACAAACAATGCTAGCCAATCGGAATGGTGGCCAGTCCTACAGAATTGCTTAGTCATACTTGTATCACCTGAACGTTACCTCTGCTGACATAAAAACTGTGTAAGAACTGAAGGCAGCAATTTACTGACTACGGTGTAACCTCTATAACTACGACTTGTGAGCAGTAAGCTAACATCACAGGAGCAAAGCAATAGTACTGATGGATGTCCTTGTGTGGCTGTAAGTTCTCATTTCTCAGGGATAAATGCTGGAAAGGCAAATTACACTATAGAATAGAAAATGTTTGTTTAGTTTTAAATAAGATGCCAAATTATATTCTATATTGGCTATAGAACATAAGTAACATTTTACATCCTACCAGTAATGTGTAAGTGATCCAGTTTCTCTACATCCCTACCAGTTTGGGGTATTGTCACTTAAAATTTTGGTTCTGTTTATCATAGTCTTAATTTACATTTCCCTCAAGTCTGGTAATGATAAACAACATTTTACATGCCTATTATCTAGCCGTGTATGTTATATCCTCTTGGGTGAGGAGATTTCTCTTCCTGTTTCTTGCCCATGTTCTGATAATATTGTTAGATTATTATTTTGTTGGTGCCTTCTCTCTGTTTTTCTGTTAACTATGCTAGAGGCTTTTCAAAGAATCACATTAATTTCTTATTAATTTCTATGTTGGGCTCTGTAATCATTTCAATGAATTCTGCTCTTTTAATATTAGCCATTTTTTAGTAGCGTTGGCTTTTATATTGCTCTCATTTTTAACTTTTTTTGAGATAATATTTTAGAATTGTAATTTGAAATATCCTTTCTAGTATAGGAGTTAGTTTTATAATTTCGCTTTTAGCACTGCATTTGCTGTAGCCCCAAAATTCTGACATCTTGTGTTTCTATTTTCATCAGTTCACTATGTTTTTATTTCCCTTATGTCTTTCTCTTTGACAAATAGATATCTGCCTTTCTTTTTTCAAAACAGACTTTAATTTTTCAGAGCAGTTTTAAGTTCAAAGCAAAGATGAGTGGAAGGGACAAAGATTTCCTGTATATCACCTGTCCCCACACAAGCACAGCCCACTCTGTAGTCAACATCCTTCACCAGAGTGGCACATTAGTTATAGCTGATGAGCTAACAGTGATACATCATTATCACCCAGAGTCCGTAGTTTCCATTAGGGTTCACTTTGATGTTACACATGCTATGGGTTTTGATACATATAGGGACAGGTATCTGCCATTATAGGATCATAGTCATTTCACTACCCTAGACATCTTTTGTGCCCTTTCTATTCACCTCTACTCTCCCCACCCCAAGAAATGACTCATATTTAAAACTTGTCTCCATAGTTCTGCTGTTTTCAAAATGTCATGTACTTGGATCATACAGTAGCTAACCTTTTCATATTGGCTTATTTTACTTAGTGATATGACTTTAAGTTGCCTCCACGTCTTTTCATGACTTAATAACTCAGTTCTTTTTAGTACTGAATGATATTCAATTTTCTGAATGTACAAAAGTTTATTGATCCATTCACCTACAGATAGGTATCACGGTTGCCTCCATGTTTTAGAAGTTATAAACAAAACTGCTCTAAACATCTATATTCAGGATTCTGAATAGACATACGTTTTCAACTTTCTTGGGTAATAGCATGTGTGTGATTGCTAGATCATATGGTAAAAGTATGTTTAGGTTTTTAAAAACTGCCAAACTATCTTCCAAAGTAATGGTGGAACTTTCCATTTTCATCACCAATTAATGAAAGTTGCTTTTGCTCTGCAATGTCACCAGTATCTATTGTTGTCCATATTCTGGATTTGGACCATTCTAATAGCTGTATAGTAGTATCTCATTGTTGTTTGTATTTACCTGATGATATACAATGTGGGGCATACTTTCATATGCTTATTTTCATCTCTATATAGTCTTTGGTAATGTGTCTTTTAAGGTTCCAGGCTCATTTTTAATTGGAATTTTTGTTTTGATATCACTGAGTTTTAACAGTTCTTTACATATTTTGTTTAGCATCTTTTATCTGATATGCTGTCTGCAAATAATTTTGTCCAATTTGTTGTTTGTCTTTTCACACTTTTGAGAATGTCTTTCATAGAGCAGAAAATTTTAATTTAATAAAGTCCAGTTTATCAATTGTTTCTTTCATGGATCATGCACTTGGCATAGAATCTAAAAAGTCATTGCCAAAGCCAAGGTCATCTAGACCTTGTACTATATTATCATCTAGGAGTTTTTATATTATTGTGTTTTACAATTGGGGCTGTGTTCTGTTTTGAATTATTTTTTTGTGAAGGGTGTAAGATTTCTGTCTAGCTTTTTTATGGTTTTTTTTTTTTTTTTTGCATGTGGATGTCCAGTTTTCCCAGTATTATTTGTTGAAAAGACCATATTTACTCCATTGAATTTTTTTGCTCCTTGGTCAAAGATTAGCAGACTATATTTTTGGGTCTATTTCTAGGCTTTCTCTTCTGTTCCACTGATCTATTTGTCTTTTTTTTTCCCCCAGCATCACACTGTCTTTAGCTTTAGAGTATATGTCTTGAAGTTTGGTAGCGTCAATCCTTCAACATTGATCTTGATTTTCAATATTGCATTGGCTATTCTGGATCTTTTGCTACTCTCTCTATATTTCAGAATCAATTTGTCAATATCCAAAAGTAGCTTGCTGGAATTTTGATTGGAATTTTATGAGATCTGTCGTTCAAATTTGGAAGAACTGACATCCAGACAATATTGAATCTTCCTGTCCATGAACATGAAATATATTCCATTTATTTAGTTGTTCTTAGATTTATCAATGTCTGATGGTTTCCCTCATATAGTTTTTTTGTATATTTAGTTAGTTTTATATTAACTTACCTAATATGTGTCTGAG